CACTATACCGACATGCTACTTAGCAGAAGCTAATGCTAAAGCACTATACCGACATGCTACTTAGCAGAAGCTAATGCTAAAGCATACCGACACATACCGACATGCTACTTAGCAGAAGCTAATGCTAAAGCACTATACCGACATGCTACTTAGCAAAAGCTAATGCTAAAGCACTATGCCGACATGCTACTTAGCAGAAGCTAATGCTAAAGCACTATACCGACATGCTACTTAGCAAAAGCTAATGCTAAAGCACTGTACCGACATGCAACTTAGTAGAAGCTAATGCTAAAGTAGTTCTTTTCAGGAGACTTTTAACTCATGGTTTCAGTTTTACAGTTGCTGAGATTTGCTAGCGTGTTTTTGGCCACGGTTGGGCTTCAGATATAAAATAAATGTTAAACTCTTTACTGCAGAACAACAGCAATGTATTCTGGGTAAATGGTAATCTAACTATTTGAATGATTCTTAACAGTCGATAACCAAAATGTCAACACAGACACAAGTTCGAAAAACAGCCAAATAAATGAGAGTTTCAGAAGCTAAAAATGCTAAATGTTTTCAAAGCTAGCAGAAACACCAAATGAACAGTTAGCTTTGCTGTTAGCAGGTGAGCAGATGTTTGCTCAGGACTGGTTCTCATTAATAAAATCAAAGTCTCAGTGCCAGTGAAATGTTTTGATCTGCTGAGGGAAAATGTTTTCATCATGAAAGTCATAAAATCATAACTGGGACCAGTGGGAACATGTCGGACGTCTCAGCCTGAACCTGCGAACAGAAAACCTCTGGGCGGTTTCCAGGAAACGGGAACTCAGCCTGTTCAGGTTCTGTAAAGTTTAGTTTGTTCCTGACTGCTTTGTTTTGTCTCTGCAGGAGCTGAAGGGGGGGAAGGCCTACTCCAAGGTGAGCTTATGAAGCGTTTCTGTGTCACAGATAATAAATGTAATGATTAACCGGGCCTCGCCCACAGGGCCGATGAACCGCGCTCTTCCTGACGTTATCAAGTTATTTTAGAGTGTTTTAGTTTCCTAAATGTGTTTCGGTGTCATTTCAGCCTCTTTCTGCTTTTTATTCATTCCCAAGGTAAATAAACTGTCAGCTGAGGTCAGAGGTCAGAGGTCAGAGTGAATTGGGCAGATGAAGGTGAATGTGGGGTTAAAACAGGCTGTTGACTTCATGAAGTCTCTGATCATTTCCTCTGACGAAGGCAGAGATGGAAAGGATGAGGAAGAACGGATCGTCTGTCTGAGCGGACTTTCACTTTCTGTTGATTCATCCGTCCGTCTGTCTGTCTCTCCGTCCGTCTGTCTTCCTCCAGCTGGGATTTGCTGACCTCAACATTTCTGAGTTTGCTGGTTCAGGCTCGACGGTCCGCTGCTGCATCCTGGAGGGCTATGACACCAAAAACACCCGGCAGGACAACTCCATCCTGAAGGCATCACACACACACACACACACACACCCACACACACACACACACACACACACACACACAC